TCCATCAAGCCCAAGGTGATTACAGTTTCATCCTGAGGTACAGAGTTGAGTCCAGTCAAAGAGTGTACGGATGTAAAGGTACCTTTCCCTGGGGTTTCAACTCGACCAGAATATCGACATCAGACGCGCAGATATCGAAAGGTCGAACAGAGGATGGATCTTCAGAGGTTCGCGGTACCATGACTCTCACAAAGGCTGAACCAACGATGGTCAGAGACAAAAAGTAAAATGAGAAGAAGCTCACCTTCCAAATTTGAGACTTTGACCACAATCTCATTCTTCTTGCTCTCGCCTGGGTGTACAGTAATCCCACTACTATTCCCGCTCCCGCTTCGAGACTTTGCAAAATATCGACTCCCGATGATGCTTCCGTCACGGCTCTCCGTCTTGTCCGAATTGGAATCACTAAACGTCCGCTCAATGAACTGAGTAAGGTCGTCGGCCCAATATTGTAGACCATCGAAGACCTCTTTCGTCAAATTGACATATACCGACGGAAGCATCAGAGAAAGCGCTAAAGCTGATGGACCGGAATCAGAAGAGAGCGACGGCTGAGTTACTGTGATTCGAGGTTGCAAAGGAGCATGCTGTGCTGAACTTGGAGATGCAAAATGAACGTCGCCGGTATCCAGATCCTCCAGACTGAGTGACCCCAAAGAAAGGACTGAAAATGCCTTGTTCTGACCGACCGGGGCGTAAGCAAGCACCATTCTGCTGCACTCAACGATCATTAATGCATTCTCGTCCAATGTGGCTCGAACATCTTCCGAGAATCGAATTTGAGGAGCAGGTCGCGGTGGATTATTCAATATTTCGATGTTATGGAGGTCAAGGACAAGGGCACCTGACCGCTGAGCCCGACCAAGAAGAGGTGGACACCGAACTTGAACACGTATCATAGGTATCCGAAGGGCAAGGTTCATCTTGTTGTCAGTCTTCTTCGGTTGGCGCTACAGACCAAGTATAAGTGACAGGTCAAAATATCGCAAAATGCTTACCTTTGTAGAAGCTTTCCGAATGCTTGATTGAGGGCGGTCGTCGACTCTCTTCACAGGATAGTTCAGACTCAGATCCAAATCTTCGAGGACTAGTTGCTCTAGTCGACGTCTTTCCTTCTCGCGCTCCGTAAGCGATACTGTGGCACGAGGAGTAGCTGGAGGAGTGTCATCAGCATCTCCCAGATCCAGAGATGAGGAAGACGAAGCAGAGAGTTCGTCTAGAAAAGCCATCAAGGCACCATTACTCAATATCATGTCCACATCGAGAAAGATATGGAGCGGCACGATACTGATTTCTAGGTCGTCTGAAAGCGTACGTCGAGATGAAGTTCGCTTGAACGAAACAGTGACAGCGGATATTTGATGCTTGTCTATAGCGCCAGACGCACTATCCGGTGAAACAGATGATGTAGCACGACTCGTATGCTTTCCCTTTGCTCGAGTCCTCCAAGTCGATATCTTTAGCCCGTTCGGCTGCGATTTCGAGTCAGTCCAGTCCATGACCTCAAACACCGGTAATTCGGACAAAGTAGAGGCAGGATTTGGATGAATGTGGGTAGAGGAATACTGAGAAGGCAAGTGCTGATCTGTGATTAAAAGAGGATATGCGGAGAGTTCGACTTTAGTTTCGTCTGTCGAGGCTGAGACAGCAAAGAGCGACAACTCTGCGATGGAAAGAGTGGACGTCAAGGATAGTATGCTTCCGCTTGACGATCTAGGAGCAGGTGGTTCTGAAGTTGACGAAATGGATCCGTTAATGCTGTCCAAATGTAGTCGCAGATAACCGTGAGATAACCGCGGAGGCACCAGCGGTTTGGAAAAGAATTCTGCTTCCTCTATGGTCTTGAATGACGGTAATACCAACAAAACCAACCCTTTCAGCTTCACCACACCATCAATACCTGGCCCCATTGATCCTGAACTTGATTCTGACATTGGAGGCTGCTGCGGTGACTGGCCTGACGTAAAAGCATTCGCGATATCTGACACAGCTCTAATATGTCCTGGATTCAGTGCACAAGCTACTATGCCTGCACTGACGGAAAGCTGAAGCTTTTCCAACCTGGATCGACGATGTTGAGAGGGCCCTGGTGATTCACCTGATGGTGAATGTACTGAAGGAGTAGATAATTGGATGGAAATGGGCTCCGTACCAAAGAAGAGGATGGTCTCTTCCTGGCTTGGTCGAACACTTTCAGCAGGAGAAGCTGGTGGAGGCTGCTCTAGGTCCGGACTGCTAGGTTCCTCTTCTTCTTCTTCTGCGATACCAGATATTGCGCTCTGGTACATGCTGCTGGCGACAGAACTCGCAGGAGAGCTGGCCCGTGGAGGAAGAAATGCGAGAGATTGCGACATGGCCCAATGGGTATCCTCGTCAAGAGAAGACGACGAAGACGCTGGTGAAGATGAAGGCCTGGATTCGGCGCGTACACGCGACGATGAAGGAGAGGAACCAAGGCGTTTCGTGGCAACTGTGATTCCCGACACCGACACCGTCCTAACCTCCCCTCCTTCGCTTTCCAAAGGACTCTCCTCGGTGAGATAATGAATTTGAGCAATGGTTACAGATAGCATCGAATGCTGTGGATGAATGAGAGTGATCTTGGTGTTGACGGCGTCAAATTTGACCCGTGCAAGCAAGCGTTCGATAAGAGCAGCGAACATGGGCACTCCAGCAGGGTCGACATCTGAACCAAAGTCCTCTTCCTCCGGCGCGGTGATAAACGGGTCGAGGCCACCTGGGAGGTTCTGGTCGTCTGCAGCCACGAGATCCGGATGAAACGAATCGAGCATCTCTTGGGGCGTCATCTCATCGTGAATGAATGATTCTGCGACAGAAACGACAGAGTCTGCTAGGTTCTGAGGTGGAACTGGAGGAGCTAGAGGTTTGTCGGAAATGCGCAGGGTTAAATGAAGGGAATCGAGGGCAAGTCCGACGTCGGAGGAGAGCGGATTTGGCCATGGAATTCGAGCAGTGACTGAGGCTACAGTTCCGGATTCGAGTTGTAATGGAAGGCCTGAAATTAGTTGATTGATTGTCTGTAGCTTGTCGGCATCCTTGAGAAGCGAGATAAAGACAGGACATACCTCGTTATTCAGTTCAAGGTCAGAGACTTGAACATATCCTGAACCGAGCTGAGAATCTATCTGCTTCACATCGAGCTGACCAGGCTTGAGGAAGTGGCCCAGATAAGTCTTGAGAGCAAACGAAATGAATCGTCGCTGGATGCTGGAAGGGAGAGAAAATGGGATGCTGATGGACGGCAGCGAAGGAATCCAGGACGTCCACGAGGTCATGGTCGTTATACAGTGGCTTCTGGCATCGATGCACTGAAGGCCTTTCAGTTAGGCTTGTAACCGCGTGACGATGAGGCCACTTTGCGTAACACGGACCGAACTATGAAATCTCCGGTGAACAGCCATGTTCCCATTTTTCTTAGCAGATTCCGTCTTCAATTGTGGTCCAACCGAACGTCTATCGTGCGCGCTTGGTCAAAATTTCCCCGCTGGAGAGCCATTCCACTGAATGTTTGTGGTCATTGACATTTGACAGAATCCTTCCGCACCGAGGCAGGGCTATTCTCCAACTTTAGCCTTTTTTCCCAACGATGGAACACTGCTCAATGCTCACGACCACTGGATTTCAGTCGCATCCTCGACTTCAAGGGATGTCTCGAATCTTGGAAATTCTTGCTCTTCTCCATTTTATCATATCTTTCCATTATAACGAACTGTCGTGGACCAGGAAGAACTTGTGCTCTCTTTGTCAAGTTCCGACGTTGAAGAATGCAACGAGAAACCCTTCGCTTCTCAAGTCCACTCTATCGAATGTCAAAGTTCTGATAATTCGACCTCTTTCAGCTATAGACTTCGACGACCTGAAATTCTTGGTTCTGTAAACTCAATCTTCTCCGCCTTCTTAAAAGCCAGCTCAGACTCTTTCAGGTCTGTGACTGATATCCCAGGTGCTAACTGAGAGTCTGAGACAGAAGGCATCCAGAGACTACCATTCAATCGATTGAGAGTCGGTGGCAGTGTGGATCATTTCTGTGCGATGCGCTGAAAAAAAAGATTCATGGAATAGGACAGAGCATAGAATAGAACATTATCGAGGATTATGAGTAACTATTGGGGTAAATAACTACGTTCACTTGTTCTTGTTCTTGTTACTTGTTTTTGTTCATATGCCTGCGGATACGTGAGCTCGGAATTTCGCCGGCTGCAAGGAGACTGACCTGGGTGCACCATAGGAGCCATTGATCTTGAAAGTCCCGACATCTGGTTTGAAGCTGACATTCACGTTTCCAACAAGTTCCAGCGAGTCATATCTAGCAAAAAGTCAGAAAAAGACGCGTCGTTGACCACAGATATCGACAAACCTGGTAGAGGCATCGATACTGCCCATGATATCCTCGAATTCCTCGACAGTGAACTTTTGCATCTTCTTGGGAGCACCGTCGACTTTGAACATGGCACCGAGGACATTGGGATCTGCGCAGACACCTTCATAGGAAAACTTGGCGCCTCCAGTTTTGCACGTCGTTTTCCACTTTTACTTGATGTTCAGTGGCAAATGGAGGCCAAGGAAAAAGGACATACGACCATTTGTTTCTTGATGCCACTGACGCAAACATTTCTCATAGTCTGAGCCTCAGCTGCAAGCTGGTCAGAGGACTTGATCTTTGGTTTGTAATTCTCCAGCTCTTCCTCCAAATATCGCGCATAACGGGCCAACGCAGTCGCGTCTGACGCGTTCAATTCTGTCTCGTCGTCGAGCACAGTCTGAACAAGGTCTTTCGCAGCGGAATGGTCGGGCTCTTGACGCGCTTTTTTCGAACGTGCGCCGGTTTGAGTGGTTGATTTGCGTTTGGTAGAAGACATGTCGTGGTGGTTTGTGGAAAAAAAGGATATCACGACATGACACGGCTTTATTGTCTGGTCTCGGTTATTACCGAGATATTTCACTGCGGCTCAGACTCACAGCAGCCGGATGATTGCCATGCGTTGATAGGATAGTGGTAACCTGGGCCGTTGCCATTCGTCGAGAAATAATTCTCGACCCACCGCGAGTTCGATTCTCTTGCAATGCAGTGCAGCGATCGCGGTCTTTTGGTTTCTGTTTCAACTTTGTCCATTGGCATTTTTTAACAGCGACAAATACTCGACAAATACTTATCGGAGTAGAACAAGATGAGCTGGGTATCTATGTTAATACTTGAAACTGTGGCGTCGTTGACCTTTTTTTTGAAAAAGTTGGCGCGTGGGACTGTAATGTGCTCAGAATTGTTAGGATCTATAATTGCAGCCTGCTGCAGGTTGTCCTCGTTGGGAATGGCTCTAGTTGACAGTTTCGGGTCGGGAAAAAACTTGGAGCAGTCGCCACCTGACAAAATTCGATTGAGATTGGTTGTATGGCCGATAATCACAGTCAATTGTAGAGGCTTGTAGGGACTTGTATGTAGCGATGGCTTCTGAATCTGTGGAGTTCCAGGAGTGCGATGGATGATTTTCCAAAGCTGTGCTCGGTGTTTAGCGGTGTTAGCCTCGATCAAACGCCATCCGGGGCCGCTGCGAGAGTCACACACATCACGCGCTCAAGTTCTCTTGTGCAACCGATTCCATCCATGAATCGATTCTCATGTATTCTCCGCAATCTCTGTGGTCCGGTTTGGTCAGAAGGCTCGTCATGCATGCAAAATCAGCCAGTACAGCAATCCCGAAGTCCTTCCGTCGAGCGTGATAGGTACCTCGCGACGCAGAATAAGCAAGAGGATTGCGAGAGGATCAACATCGGGGAAGTCATCATCCTATAATTATCCCGCAATTCTACCGTGACGCGCCTTATATTGCCCAAGAGCAAGCGGCTCTCTTGACAGCTCAATCATGATTGCTGCTCTTTTCAAGGTTGCGTTTTTGGTGGCCTGGGCTTTCGGTTCCGCCAACGCTGACGACTTGACTATATATACCGACGACAACCTAGCTTCTGGATGGGAGAACTGGTCGTGGGGAAGCGACATCAATTTTGCCGCTACCGACTTGTTTGAAGGAAGCAGCAGTATTTCGGTCAATTCAACAGCATGGTCGGCTCTCTCTGTGAAACTCGAAGGGACCTTTCCGACTTATGCTGGTTTGAGATTCGATATTGCGGTATGAAGCCCAACCAATTCATTATTCTTCTTGCTAAATGATTACCTAGGGAGACGAGCCCGACATGTCTATCGCCATAACCTCGAGCGTCGATGGCACTACGTCTCCTTCAATTCCGTTGTCGTCCATGAGCAAAACTATCACTTCTGGGGCTTTCACCTCTCTCCTCATTGATTTCAGTGCTCTGCCAGGCACCGGAGCTCCTTTGGTAAGTTATTTCTGGCTTGTGAGACTCGTGTAGTCAACTAGACCAATCAAGGGGAATGGAACCTGGGATAGAATCAACTTTCAGGGTAACGCTAATGGGGCTTTCGTGAGTTTTAGTCAAGCTGAGAGTTTCTGGTCACTTACCCAAGCGTCACTAGTATCATATCGACAACATTGTTCTCGTCAGCGTGAGTTTCACAGACTTTTCATCCAGCGCTTGTTCATGATGCCATGTAGTCCATTATCATCACACCGGAGTTTCTCAGCGCAGAACCACTTGCGAGTAACACTGTCGCTGTTACGACTGCAGGGACTGTGGACTTCTCGACCTGTAAAAGTGATTCTCAATGGAAAGGTACTTGCGTTAATTCTGCGTCGTAAGTTAGCAGGCACTCGACCTTTAAACAGACGGTCGCCATCACGAACCAGACGACCTATGTTCCGTTTGGAACACCATCCAAGTCTGTCACATACTTGACTTTAGCCTCTTCATTCGCCCCTGGGTCTCTTGTCATCCAGGCTGGCGACGGTACGTTCAACTTCACATTGCCAGCGGTGCAGTACGCGAGGTAAATTGTTGCTTCAGCGATTTGGCTTAGCTTGAACGTTTGGCAGCATCGTCCAACAGGTCAACTTCCCCATAAATCCTCATATTTATGGAGTGAATTTCCCTACGAGCGCAAGCTACATTAAAGATCTAGGTGTGACCATCTCCCGCTGGGGCGGAAACGCAGTGACAGCCTATAATCCCGGTTTGTTGTCGATCTTCGCTGGAGCACGCTGAATGCTTATGAGTCTTTCAGATGGTGGATTTACTAATGCCGGGAGTGATTGGTACTTTGAGAATCGTGTCAGTGATCCAAGTGCCGATGATTGGGTGGGCTGGGTTTCAGCAGCTGGCTCCGATACACTTGTGACGATTCCAGCGTGAGTTTTGGCCTGCTATCCACATTCGAGTCTTGACATTTATCTTTCTCAGTCTAGATTGGGTTTCAAAGGATGCGACGTCATATAGCTACCCTGCGACTGTGTATCCGGGTTAGTGTTTCTCTGCCATGTTGCGCCACATATCCTCATGCGAGATTTAGATCAAAAGTCCTTCGACCCCTTCCTGGCCGATGCAGGCGATGGATTATTCCCGAATGGTTCCTCTATCACTCCGGTGGCTAATCCAACTAGCGCTTACACCCCATGGAATACGGCTATGGCCAAAGCATGGTTGTCTGGATTAGCGAACAAGCCTACAATGGTTACCATCGACAACGAGATTGAGATTGCCAGCAGCACACACCAGGATATGCATCCAACGTAAGTTCAAATCCCTTGTTATTTCCATTTTCTCATTTGGTCATTGCAGTTTGATCGGATACGACGAGGAATTAGCCCGAGTCGTGAATTTCTCCATCATTGCCAAAGAGGCCCTTCCGAATGTGCTTGTTGCAGCTCCTTCCACCTGTTCCTGGTGGTAAGTCTTTTCTCCTCGAAAAAGCTCATGACGGATCCGTCAACAGGTTCTATTGGACGAGTACGATAGGATACACTGACAATGCTGCTCACGACAACATTGACTTCCTTCCTTGGTTCCTTGCGCAAATGAAGAAGCAAGAGACCATTGTCGGCAAACGACTCCTCGATTACCTGGACATTCATTATTACTTCCAAGCCGATACCAGCGCCAACGATGCCGCTGCCAAGGCGCTTCGACTGAGAGCCACACGAAGTCTTTGGGTGAGATTATCGACCTAACAGAAAACAATTGTTGATTCTTTTATCCAAAGGATACCTCCTATGTCGACGAGTCATGGGCGGGAAGCAACCCCCAGAATCACCAATGGAATCCGACTGCCATATCGCTGCTTCCGCGTTTCCGTACGCTCATAGATATCAATTACCCTGGCACCAAACTGTCCATTAGTGAATGGAGTTCGACCGCTGACACAGATATTACCGGTGGACTGGTGACTGTGGATGTCCTTGGCTTATTTGGCACGTACAAGGCTGACAGCGCCACGTATTGGGTCACTCCAGATGAGCTCGGACCTGTTGGGCTAGCATTCTGGCTCTACCGAGGGTGAGCTACTGTTTTCGTCTCATTGTTGCGAACTGACATTGCGATAGATTTGGAGTCTATTTCGGAAGCTCTAGTGCTCAAGTCAACCTTGCGACGCCAAATCCGGACACCCAAGGTGTCTATGCTGGAACCGAGAATGGAAAGCTCACGTTGGTTATTGTAAACAAGAATCCGGATACCCCACTTGGATTCGACCTCGCCAATCTACCTTTCGGATCCTACTTTATGCGTCACTTTGGTGGTGCAGCAGGGGTCGCCAAATGGCAGGTGAGTGACAAGTCCAGTCCTTGACATGTTGAATCAGTTTAACTCGACCTTTCTTTCAGACAACCATCACGATCAAATCCAGCAGTTACATCGTAATTCCAGCTTACACGGCCGTGTTTTTGAAGCAAAATTGAATTTTTTCATCGTCTACTACATAATATTGTGGTTCCGAGCTTGTGAAAATCGGCTATCATGTCGCTTTTGTCCGGTCTTTCAAAATTTACGCCGTCATGCCACTTACTTAGTAAGACTGGTTTCTTGCTGCTTCAGCAATGACCATGACGCCCCGCTTGATCAAGCTGACGCTCTTCAGCGCAAAATTCTCTGGCAGCTCTGCTCGAGTACGAACAACACTCAAGCTTAAAGCAGTCGCAATACCTGTCATCACAAATGATATCGACTTTTCGGCAAAGGCTCATAAATCGCCTGAATACTTGCTCAGAAATCCCAACGGCAGTGTTCCAACTTTGGTAGCTGAATACGACTCTGCGCTCTCCAACGGGTCGAAATCTTTCACTATCACGCAGTCTCTTGCTATTCTGGACTTTATAGAACAGAATTTCCCTGAACCGGCGCTGATTCCGTCGGATCCTGTTCAGCGCGCTCGAGTCATGGAGCTCTCGAGCCTCGTCATTGCAGATATCCAACCACCTCAAAACAGCTCGATACGTCAAAGGATCGCTGCTGAGTTTGGTGGTGACGGAAAAGTGTGGGCTAAAGGCGTCTATGATCGCGGTCTGTCGGTCTACGAGACTCTTTTGGCTAGATATGGCTCTGAAACTCCGGGGAGTCCCAAGTTCAGTGTCGGAAACAATGTCACTCTGGCTGATGTATGCCTGGTGCCGGCGGTTCAGGGCGGGTTGAGAGTTGGGATCGATTTGAATCAATGGCCATTGGTCAAGAATGTGGTTGAACATTGCTGGGAGTTGAAAGAATTTCGAGATTCTGGGCTTGGAGGTCATGGGAATCTGATGCCTTAGCAAGTCCTAGCACCTTCAAGTACTACTTTTTCACTGTCGTACTCTCGTATAGACTATGATAAGCCGAATAGGAAGTTATCTAGAAATGATATCATGAAGTGTAGAATGGTCAAAACAGTCGCGTTTGACGCGCTAATATAAACCCCGCATACTCCTCGGTGCTAATAATAGGGGCCAAGAACCGCGCACTAATGGGGTAGTGGTAGCCTGAGTCGTTGCCATATCACGTCTATGAATGGGTGGCTTACCATCTCTCTGCTGCCAAGGGGGTAGAGCGGCCATACCAATAACTTTTCCCTGAGCGCATACAGCGACTTGGCGATAGGTTGTAGGCACCAGATATTGCTGATTAGCTGGTCCTTCTCCTGCTAAATCGTCTCCTTTGCCTGGCCCCCATGGAAAGATGGTGTAACCTTCC